GGCGCTGTTTGTCTAGTGCGGCCGTGCCAAAGACGGCGGGCCCCAGACAGCCAGGCGCCTCCGTACACCTGGGGATGCTCAGGTTAAATAGCTCCGCATTCCTCGGGCCCAGCTGATGGAAACGCTCCCAGGCCGCCGCCGAGCAGGCCTCCAGATGGGCTGGGCCCGGGCCAAAGGGGAAGAGAAGGAAACGTGGAATCCAGAGAGCGCCTGAATGGCGGGGGGAGGTGGCCAGGCCTCTGAAGCCCCTTCTTCGGCTGGAAGGAGGCCCCGCGGTCCGGGAGCCCCGTGGGTGGGCTTGGGGGGCGCGCGTGTGCCTCCCGGACACCCCAAGGACACACAACCACAAATAATAATTTATAACTATCAAGCTGTACGTGCCAGGCACTGTGCTGAATGCTTTACTCAGTTGATCTATTCTGGACACCTCTGTAAGGTTAGCACTGTAAAACAGCTGCCGGATAAGAAGGGGATGGCAGAGAAATTAATTTACCTACAGATACTGTGCTCTTTGATATAGTTCATAAAATCCTACAGGGTGATTGCTCAGTATATAATCATTTTAAATTTACTTCTTTTTTGTTATTCCCTCTCTGAGCTTGTTTCTGCTGTTGTAAAACTTACCTTTACCCTCAGAGGGATCCATGAAATCTTCTCCTAAGGGGTGGAGCACAAAGCCAGACTGGGTCCTGGCTGCCATTTGTTTTAGTTTGTTTATTGACAAGATGTATAAATAGTCTTTATCTTTTCTGGGTCAAATTTGTACCTTTTCCAGAACTTGGTTTCTCCATGTGTATATGGGAGTTGACCTGGCAGGGATACTGGGGCTGGGGGCGGGGCAGAGCCTAACAATTGCCTAGGGAGTTAGTATACTTGAACTTCTGAGGAAGGGTTTGCCTAAATGGTTGCCCTATACCCTTAACCTGGACTTGCAGAGGCCCAGGAATGCCAAGCAAAGTACAGGGTAATTATACACATACAGCGCCCCCAAGACACAAACATTCATCAACGGAGACCCAGGCACAGATGCCCATGGTGCATTTGGAGGAAATGCATAAACCCAAACAGCTGAAGGTTGCAGTTATCTGTAGAACACATGTGCTCACATTTGCCCTTCAACATACTCCCCAGCCACATCCTGATTCACATCCCCAGGCCTGCAGAGGAGCAATGACCCAGCCCCCTGGTGGGAAGGGTTATGTTTGCTGTTGTCACACACACAAGCCCAGGCAACTTGCGCACTCTTGTGAGCATAAACCACATATCCAGGAATAGGCCTTTGCCAATGACACCTTTTTTCTGCTCAGGAGGTGGGGACAGGACTGGCTTGCTCCTCAGAGCCCACACAGTAGCCCCAGGGGGCAGCCTGGTTCCAGTGGTTGGCAAAGTCAGGCTAGGGTGAGGGGGCTGAGTCCAGACCCAGAGCAGGTGGCCTGGCAGCTGTGCACAGCCTGGCCCTGCCAACTTGATCACCCACTTGGACAGGCTTGGAGCCCAGGGCAGCCTGCTGGCATCAGGGAAAGGTGGCCTGCTTAGGGAGACCTCCTACTGGGGAACAGGGCCACAGGAGCTCTGCTTCAGAGGAGTGTGGTCCCAGGCAGTTCCCTTTCAGTGGGTCTCACTTCCCCAAGGTAGCAAGGAGGCAGATGGTCCAGTGACCAGGTCCTCTGACATAAATATCCTCAACTCAGAGGGGGCCTCAGCAGGTTCATCTGCATTTTAACAACCTCCCCAGGTGATCCAGGAGGCCCAGTGACCACTTTTTTGAGACCCTAGAGGTCTAGAGGATTTAAGTTTATGACTCTGGGGAGCAGGGAAATGGCCATGGATGGGGGAAAAGAATAGACTTTAAAGACACCGGAAACACTCATTCAGGTCGGTTAAGGGAGACTGTCCAGATGTGGCCCTCCAGGCCCCCTCCTCCCAGCACCAGCTGCGAAAAGGGTCAGGGGTCAATCACCACCCCCTCCCCTCAATCCAAGAAGTCACTGCAACTTTACCACCGTCTAAAGTATTTGTTTAATAACAACAACAGAAAAACCACCCCCACAGAACTATTGTAAAACAATATTCTCAGTCGGTGATCATTGTAATATACAATACAAAACAATTTCCTCAGAAATCTGAGAAGCACCAAACGTGACCATTTTTTAAAAGTCTGCTTTTCAAAAAATAGAAACACACGGGGAACCCCTCCCAAAGTCTCTGCCGAAGGGAGGTGTTGGGAGTATCGCCTTTCCCTCCTCAGTCCCCTAACTGTGGGCTGGATCCAGCTAAGGACCCAAGGCCCGCCGGTCTATCCTGTTTTCCCCAGCTCCGTGAAGAGGCGCTTGCGGGGACCGAGAACACTTATTCCTCCAGCCTCCCGGAGGGCCGGGGTCCACTGGTCCCAGAGGGCGACACTTCAGCGACACAAGATGCGATCGTCAGCCGGAACACATGCTGTCTGTGAAAATGAGAGGAGCATGATGCAGGTTGGTGAGGGCGAGACTACGGCGCAGCAGGTGACCCCCCACTCCCCTCCAGGAGACCCCTCTGAGGGAGGGCCTCGCTATGTAGGTGCCAGAAAGGATGGAGGCACATGTACTACAATCCCCCTCCCTGCCACCACCCCAGTTTCCCCATCGGTAGAATGATCTCGAGCTCCAGCTAGTAGGGCCTCACCTCTGCCGCCAAGGCGCTGATTTCGCCATTGAGGGTGCTGAGCGGAGCCCGGACCGGCAGCCCCCGTCCCCCTGGGGTTCCGACTTCGGATTCCGAGTTCAGCTCCAACTGCAGGTCCCTGATGTAGTCGATGACGTGCTGCAGGATCTCTACCTTGCTCACTTTGCGGTTCTGGGGCAGAGTGGGCACCAGCTCCTTGAGGCGCGAATAGCAGCCGTTCATGTCATAGAGCAGCACGTTCACCTGCTGCTCGTCCAACAAGGAGGGCAGGCGCGTCCCCGCGCAGCGCGAGATGGCCACGCTCTGCTCGGAGAGGCAGCGCACCACCTCGCCCGCGCCGCCCGCCGCCTTGCTGGCCTTCAGCGCGCAACTGGGGCCCGCGGCGGGAGCGGTGCTGCCACTGGCGACCTTCATGACTCTGGCGAAACGGTAAGACCCGCGATGGAGTGAGGAGGCTGGCGCCGAGCGCTAAACGCGGGTGAGAAAGTCAGAGGAAGAGAGTAGAATGCGGGAGCGAAACCCCCGGAGCCAGTATTTTATAGGGACACCCCCGGGGGCGGGCTCAAGCGTTCAAAAGCAGCCAATACGAGGCGTGGAGGCGTGGTCTCGTGTTCTCCTGGGTCCCGCCCCCTCGTTCAACTAGTGCACCCTCGCGTTGGTGGAAAGGTGACCGAGTTTTAAGACAGATTGAGGGCGCGAGGCAGAGCGGCCACTGGAGACGAGGGCGTCTTGGGAGGAGGCAGGGAGGCCAAACCGGTACTGCAGACAACGCAGACACCTGGGAACGGTCCTGTGTTCACTTTCTCGCCTCTCCCGCTCCATTGTATAGGTGAGAGAAACTGAGGCCTGGACAGAGAAGCGGCTGCTTTTGGGTCGTCCAGAGAACCCAAGACAGCCCAGGCTTTCCAGATCCTCTTGGAAGATAACCTCTCGGATTCTGGTCTCCAAATAGCAGGGCCGAATTTTAAAGCGGGATTTCGTTTACCCTCAACTCCCGGGGCTGGACTTCCCCACTCCCCAGGGACGCTGCTGTGAATACTCCTGGGACCGGGAACGCCTAGCCAGTTTCCTTGAGGTGGGAGCAGTTAATTAGGGAGATTCAGCTAGGGGTTGCGTCTCTGGGACCTGAATTAGCTGCAATGCGCGCGGTTGAGTGAGGTTGCAGGCCCCTGCAAAAATTTGTCAAATCTGGGCTGGGGATTTAGCTCAGTGGTTCTGCCACCTACCTCGCTAAGCGCCAAGGTCCCAGGTTCGATCCCCGTACCAAAACCAAACAAAAGTCTGCCAAAACTGCAGCAACTAGTGATTTTTAATTTTTCTCCCTTTTTTTGCTTGGATTTTTTTCCCCCTTAAAGGCCCCGAAGCAGGGTCTCCGAGGGCTCCGCAGCTGCGGAGATCGAGCCTCCCCCCTCCTTTCCCGGGCGGGTCTGTGTCAGCGTCTGAACAAGCGGCTCAGACCGTTAGACGCCAGGCCCGTGACGTCACCCATTCATAAAACCCGGACGGGCTGTCAGCCTGGCGCCGCGCGGGCGGTCGCCATGGAGACGGCAAACTGGGCTGGAGCGTTCCAGCTCCCCCCTCTTGTCACCTGCAGACCCCGGGCGGGAGGCCTGGGAATGCGTGCCTTGTGGGTGCGGTCGCTGGGCAAGGGTCACCTTACCTCCCCGCCCCACACCTGCGAACTTCCCCCAACCAGCCCCACAGCTTGGGCCACCTGGGAGGTTTTCTCTTTGCCTTCCTAATCTAATCCCCCGAACTCCCCTCGGGCTTGGGGTAAGAGGCCTGAGCTGCATCCTTTGGTCCTGTTGGATGAATTTAGGTGAGTCTCCAGCTTGCTCCAAGCAAGCTCTGCTGTTTAGAATCTGTCTGGTTTCGATAGCGATCACAAATGTAACCATTTGTCACTTCCTCACTTCATGCCAGCACTGTGCAAGTTTGCACAACTTTCTTGGTATAGAAAGGAGGAAACTGAGGCTTTAGCAAAGCCTCCGAAGTCCTCAGGCATGGTGGTGTACTCCTGTAATTCCTATTTCTCTGGAGGCTGAGACAGGAGGATCGAAAATTTGAGTCCTGCCTGGACAGTTTGGCAAGATCCTGTTTCAAATTTTTAAAAAGTGTGTGTGGGGTAGAGAGTTGGGCATATAGTTCCGTGACGGAGCTCCCTGGGCTCAAACCCCAGTGTGGGGAGGGTGGAGCCTTCCAGGAGCCAGAGAAGTTGTACAGTTGCATGGGACATTACTGTAATGCAGCAACTTGATGCCTAAGGTAGAGAGTGACTCCAAATGCCCTAGACATTCACCTAGACGTTTCACCAGGCAGTGAAACTGAGGCTTAAGCCTCATGGTCACCCTGATAAACAGGGTTAAAATACTATGCTAATCTAGGAGAGGGTGACATTATACTCCTACTTTGCTCTAGCACTTAATCCACAGGGTAGCAGCAAGGTTCCCTTTTCCCACAGATGTTTAGGGGAGGGAACAATAAACCAGCCCTCTGACTCCATCTCAGGAAACCAGGAAAACTAATCAGTGAGTCCTGCTTCAAAGGAGAGAGACATCATCAATTAATTAGCTGGACTCCTCATCCCCTGACCAACACACCCCTAGATGCTTCCCACTTCCAAGGCCTTGGTTGAAAGAACATTATGCTGCTCCAAAGAACTGCTGAAGGACTGGAAAGACAAGAGTCAACCAGGGGAAATTGGGATATTAATTCATTACCAAGTGTTTATACAATGACCCAGCAATTCTACCGGCTGCAGTCAATTTCAGGGAAAGCTACTGCAGAGACAAGACACAGATGTGTGCCCAAGGGTGTTCAGTGCTGTACTGACGCAAGAGGGAAAGTCGGAAATAACTTAAATGACCCTCAACAGTGGCATTATAGAAACTGTGAGTGACCCATCAGTGCCTGGCATGGCTGTGCAGCAGGTGACCAGTGTGGCTCTGAGTATGAAAGTCCTCTGTTGGGCTGAGAGTGTAACTCAGTGGTAGAGCACTTGCCTTTTTT